AGAAGCAACGTCTAGCTACATCGACCAGTGATGTCCTCTCGGACCCAGGCAAATATCGTCGTCTGGTTGGTCGACTTTTGTACTTGCTTGCCACTCGCCCCGACATCACGTATGCTGTTCACGTCCTCTCTCAATTCATGCAGGAGCCTCGTCTTGAACATTGGGACGCTGCATTACGGCTGGTTCGCTATTTGAAACGCAGTCCCGGACAAGGAATTCTTCTTCGGGCAGATTCTGATCTTCATCTTTACGGTTGGTGCGACTCCGATTGGGCGGGCTGTCCCCGATCTCGCAAGTCTACGTCGGGATGGATCATTCAACTCGGCAACTCTCCGATCTCATGGAAATCGAAGAAACAACACACCATATCTCTTTCTTCCGCCGAAGCCGAATATCGTTCCATGGCTGTCACGACATGTGAACTTCTCTGGATTAAGGCTCTTTTGCTCAGCCTTGGTGTTCCTCACTCAACACCCATGACACTCCTCTGCGATAGCCAAGCCGCGCTTCACATCGCTGCCAATGACGCCTTCCATGATCGCACGAAACACATCGAAGTAACGTGTCATTTCCTACGTCATCATCTTCTCAACAACAACATCACCACCCGACATGTTCCAACTCTGCATCAACTGGCAGATATCTTTACCAAAGCTCTCGGCAAGAAGGAATTCGACGCGTTCTTAGGCAAGTTGGGCATCTATGACATACATGCTCCAACTTGAGGGAGGGTAATAGGAGACACATATGAATATATGCTGTATAATACTAAAAAGGAAACTTTGATTATATTTCCTTAAGTCTTGCACTAGGTTACAGAGACTTCTGATGTATATAGCTTCGCATATTGTGTTCTTCAAGAAATATAGAACCGCCGCATTGTTCTTCGGCTGTTTCTTTTCATCTCGGCTTGTGATACGTGACAGAATTCTTATTTTTTTTTTTCTATTATGTATTTATTATTTTTCATTTTCTTTCCTATATTAATGATATTTTAATGATTGTATCTTTTTACGTTTTGCCTCTGTGGTCTGCGTTTTGTCTCTTCTTTGTCGTGTTTACCTTTTAGGATTTTCTGCTAATTTTAATTTTAATATTATTTTTGACACATTTTTTAAACTTTGAATTATACCCATATGACCTTTCGTCGTCCTTTATTACTATTTATATTTATATTAATTTTCTCCTGACAATTGCTCATAAATTTCTCCTGCAAGTTAATATTTAAGACAGCACTGTGAATTTCGGATGCCCACTTAATGTTAATTAAATTGAGAAAGGTTGTATAAGCATTAAATTAATTCGTACATGACCAGAAATTAAATAAATAAATTTTCTATGTCCATCAACACGACATAATAAGCAATATAGACAAAGATATGTCGGGTGTTAAGACGATATTTGCATCACAACTTTAATGTTACGAAAACAGGGCATCCGTGTCTTTTTTTTATTATTATTATAGTATAAAAACAATTCATATTGAATTAGAAATTAATTTATGATATAAAATTATAAAACTCAAATGGTGCATGAACCGGAATTCAAGCTAAGCATCTCAGCCACACTTTGAAGGGCAGACAAATATCTGTTGTAATACTTTGATAAAAAGGAACTAAACAAATTCATGTGAACACGTTTTCAATAATCCAAAACAATTGAAATCAAATAATTAAAATAGAATAATGGTTTGGGTTTGCAGAATTTGTAAAATAGATATATGCTGTCGCTATGATTTATTTGGTGTGTTTTTTAAGTTATTATTCGTTTTTTGTTTTTACTTGATTTGATCTTGTATTTGTCATATAAAGTTTTATATCAGATATATAGGAATCAATGCAATGATAATTATCCGAATAGATATATATATATATATATATATATATA